CTGCGCCGTGGGCCGGGCTCCCGGCCTGGCCACTGTCCTGCTGTTAAATCTGCCCCGCTGAATTTATTTTGACATCTTCCGTGCAGCTTCCACTCGCAAAAGCCGTCTCCGAGCGCTGCGCCTTGCCTGCGCTAGCGCATGTGTGCTGCTGATGTGCAGCTGCTTACTGGGTTTCATCTGGTACCTGCAGAAGGGGCTTGCAGCAAGGGGTAGCGCAGGGACAATGCGTTCAGCTCGCTCGGTGCTTCAGAGATGCCTTTTCGAACTTGAGAGGTCAAAAGGGTTTGTTTTCTGTCTTTAAAAAAAACCAACAAAGGTGCACAACTCGTTGTGCACGGCGCAGCAGTCGGGGAGCCCTGCTTTAATGCTGTGTCCGAAAGGACCCTGAACTTTGCTGCGTGCCCACAATGCCTCTGCTTTGGTCGTGCCTGCTGCTTCGGTCGCCCCGCTCGCCTGCCAGGACAGGTCAGGTTCTCATCTGCTCAAATACACCCCTCGGGTCAAATCTGTGGTCAGGACAACTGACCAAAGGTGAAGCTGTGCTGATTGTCCCTCTTGTTTCAGGTGGAAGCTGTACAGACCCACAGGCGCTGCTTGGCTTAAGATACGAGGCAAATGGATTTTGAGGAATACTTGAATTTCAAAATGTGTATAGGTTTTTTTCCAGAAGGCTTACAAACCATGTGTCTGGTCCCATTTCCCGTTTGTGCCCATGGACCAGTTCTACAGAGCTGGGACTGTATTTGCCTTTATTCCTTTCTTTGCAAAATGGGTTGTGGTGGGTGTTTGGGTAGTGGTGGGTGGGACTACTTAATGACCATAAGCTGATCTGAGCACAGAAATCTTCCTCAGGAGGACTGGGGTGAGGAAGGGAGCATGGGAGAGGAGCCGTGCCAGCACTGGGAGGCATGGCGATGGTGACACTGGAGTTGTTGGAAACTTCCCTTGACCATGCACGGCAGCAGGGGCTTGAGTGATTCTGACAAGTGGCACAAGGCATCGCCTCACCTATTTCTAAAGAACTGCTGTCTTCCCGGTGAGGAAAGCTGCTCTGAATTTCTAGACCCTGCTCATTGCTGGAATGCACTTCTGTGAAAGGCCGAGCCGCTCTTAGGGCAGCGTAAGGCAACTGGCACCTTCTCGGGGCAGTCCCGTTCACGGGTGAACGTGCGGGTTTTGTTCCGAGTGCCTTACTGTAATGGTTGACCTGGCTTAGGCATGGTTCCAGCCGGTACTTTGTGTCTGGAGCTTCTCCACTGAGCTTTGTCTTGGTGCAAATTAAAATGTCTCGAGCTACCAGAGTATTGTCGAAGCCTTATAATCCGCAAGGAACGGGAGCTGCTAACATTTTGCTGAGACTCCCCAGCAGCTCTGGCGTGTAGTCTGTATGGTCTGGCTGATGTTTTGTGTCTGTGGGAGGTAATATTTGCCCAGACATCATGCACTGAGGCAGTTGTGGGGTTTTTTGCCTTTTATATTAATGCTCCTGAGGGAGTTTTGCAAGAGCTGTGGCCTTTCACATACTTGCAGGTTTTCAGTGTTAAACTTGTTTAATTTCTTGGCTTGGCGCTGCTGCTTTTATGATTCACTAATCTTGTGTTTGGTTGCGTATCTCTAACTTGTTGAATAATCATGAGGACCTTTGTCCCAGATTTCCGTAGCCAACACCGGGAGGGGGAAGGGGGAATTTTTTTTAAGAAAGCTTTTTGCTGAATCTCTCAGGCCTCTGGAGAAACCTTGTTTATGGTTCTGCTTTTCAGGGGAGACTTAAAACATTCAGTTCCCTCTCATTTGAAGAGAGACTTCCTTTTCTCACACAGACTAACAACAGAAGGTTGTTATTAGCCAGTCTGTAGTATTTAACCAGCTCCAGTGTAACAAAATCCCTTTCTGTCTTTTACTATTTGAAATGCTGTAGCTCAGGGGATAAGAAAAGCTTTACTTCAGCTCAAGAAGCCAACCGTGTCATTCTTATTCCTCTGTAAGTCCCATAAAAAAAGAATGTAGGAGTAACAGAAGTTCGTATGTGGTAGTAAAGGGAATAAAAACAGAGGTAATTAAGGGAAAAGGTTCACGTCTTCTGCTAGTCCTATCTGTTGTGGGGCTATACTGAGTAACTGGGAATAGAATTGAGCAGTGGAGTTATTAAGAGCATGAGTGGACTAGAAATATGATATAATGAGAAGACGTTAGATGATACAGCAGTCAAAACACTTTAGTCCATACGGGAGTAATTCTTACATAATGAAACATAAACAGACACTGGATTTTGCATACACATATTCATCCTGAACTTCTGAAAATGCCTTGCATTGTTCATAGACTCATAGAATCGTGTAGGTTGGAAAAGACCTTTCAGATCATCCAGTCCAACCATTTACCTGACACTACCACATCCACCACTAAACCAGTTAAGGGCAGAGTCATAATTAACTTCATGTTTCCTGGCTCGCTGGCTGGATTATTTTTTAATGAGTAAAAACTAGGAATCACTAAGGCCCTCTAAGATCATCAGTCCAACTGTCAACCCAGCACCCCCATGCCCACTAAACCGTGTCCCAAAGTGCCACTTCTACACAGTTTTTGAACCCCTCCGGGGATGGGGACTCCCCCACCTCTCTGGGCAGCCTGTTCCAATGCTTGACCGCTCTTTCCGTGAAGAAATTTTTCCTAATACCCAATCAAAACCTCCCCTGGCGCAACTTGAGCCCATTTCCTCTCGTCCTATCACTAGTTGCTTGGGAGAAGAGACCAAGTTCATTGGTTTGAAATGGGTTCAGCGCAGGTGCTGTACTCCAGAGCTGCGTGGTTCATGCCTGTTGTGCTCTTAACAAGCTTCAGGGGCTGTTTGACTTTTGCAGAGGAAGGATGCACGCGATGGGAATTGCCAAGCGTCCCGAAACTCAGCGCAGGGCTGGTGTTCTGTCCCGTACAGACGTGCAGGGAGAGAAAGTTCGGGGTAGATACGAGGGCCCACAGGTTTCCATTCCCTGCACACCAGGAACCCTGAAGATCAGTGGGTTATGCTGGACCTTCAGGAAACGAGGGGAGGCTGCAGTGGAATGACACAAATGGGCACTGTGGTACAGCTGTCGAACTAGAGATTTCGATGCTCACCCTTTGTTGGAAGGCAGAGGGATGTATGGTTTTGCTTTGCCAAAATAAAAACACAGGCTCATGCTAGGCATTGTAATTTCCACAGGCTTTACTAAGAGTGGAGCCAGCAGCTGAAGTGTAAATCAAGCCCCTGTCATCCACGTTCAGCTCTTACCTACCTCGTCGTTAATGTTAGCCACCTCCATTCTTTCTCATCTTTTAAAACAGGTGCATCCTTTTTTTTGCTGTAGGTTAATACCTGCTCATTTTTCTGGCTGAAGGTCATATGGACAACTTCTCAGCCCCAGGAGCTGATAAAGCTATGGAAAAGCCTTTAGGTGATTTGCAGGTACAAAATCTTGGTATTAATAGTCTTGTCAGAAGAAGGAACAAAAGTCTAGTTTTCACTTAATAAGTGAATGTGAACATCTGACATGTACGAAAGTACTTCTAAAATGCGGAGGGTTTCAAGGTGTGATTTAAGAAGCATGTAATGGCAGGACTTCAGAATTGTACAAAGCACAGAGATTTCTGAGCTTGCAACAGAAAACAGGTTTAGTATTACTAAAGAATGATAGGCCTGCAGTTGGCGTCACTAAGATGGAACCAACGCTCTTTAGAGGTACCGGGGACAATTAATGATAGGGTAATGCTCCCATTGTGCTGTCTTGACTTTTAGATTAAAACCCTGCTCGTGTTTCTCAGTTTCTGATGTCAGTGCCCTTTCCTTTTTCTCCAGCCTTCTCAAAAATGTGGGGTATGGGGGAGAGTTAAGTTTCTGCACTGGAATTATAAAATATTTGGCACTTCCCTTCCTGTTCTATGCAAGTTTTACCTCTGTAAAAATTTAAAACAGCTACAAGGGGAGAAATTGAGCAGAGTGTGTATTTTGTAGATATAGACTTGTGTTTACCTTTAGATAATAAGCTTCAGTGTAACATCTAGAACTTGTAAGTATTTGGAATATACAAATGTATTTTCAGAGGAAAGGATGTTTAATAACACTCATAGATGTTTAATAACACTCATAGCTCTCAAGTAAGCAGAGGATATTTATACGGGTATAAACAAGACCAGATTCTGAATCGAAGGGCATAAGTACTCAGTTGTGAGACCATGAGACTTTGTTGGAGAACCTGCCTCTACTTGCAGAGAGAAGCAGGTGGTAGGAGAGAGTACAGGGTATTGGATTAGCTTCAGAAATTCTTGCCAACGTGTTGATTTCAAAAAGAAAATATTAGCACATGGGACTATCCCACTTCATTTTTCAATCATGTGTGTTATTCTCAGCAAGAGAGGAAAACAGTTTAAAAAAATAAATAAAGGAGTGGGAGGACATGATATATTGTAGCTGTAAAAATTCCTTTTCCTGTAAGGCTTTTCCTTATATAACAGGTGTGTAAGCGAGTAAGGCTCTCAGAGTTTTTGTATTTGTCATAGTTCATCTTTCTTTAGGGTTCTAGTAATGGTATTAGGGAAGTGCAGGTGCTCCTGCGGTGGAACAGTTCTCTATAATGAGAAACATGCTTTTTTCAAGTTAGGTCCTAAATTATATTGTTGGAGGCCTTGCAAATACTTCTGTAACTTTCCAAACATATTTGGTAGTGGTGTATATTTGGTGGTGGTATGTATTTGTTTGCTGTGACGCTGTACTGCAAGAACTTGCAATGTGTTGAAGAGCTCCCCTGTACTTAGACTTGCAATTTCCATGTTACGATACATTAAAAATACTGGGCAAATTTTATGCTTAAACAGGATAGGCATTTTGTTAGCAGCTAGAATTTTCTTATTTCCTGCTTTGCCGTCTCTTAAAGATGGTATAATTGCAGTGAAAGCGAAGCAGGATAAGGGGTTTGCATCGGTGTCTGGATGAGAGCCACTGCAGCATTTACTGTTAGTAATTCATGAAGTGCCAGCTCTCATTTTGAGACAAGTGGTATTCTGCAAGTGCAGTGGATGCAGGGCCTGTACACAGGGAATTAGTCTTTACCCCCTGAAGGTTTTGAAGTGCCTAGAGAACTTAGAGGAACAATTTTTTACTTGTGGTATGGCAGTATCTTCAGCTGGATTTGTGGCATCCTCTCTGCCTAAACTTGCCTTGCAGTTTTAGTTTGATGCCGTTGCTTTATGCTTTGAAGGTTGTTCCACGGTTTGCAGTTTAAAGAATTCAAGTATTTCATCTTGCAGTCTGAATATCATTGTGATTGCGGTTTGTGCGAAAATTGTAGGGTAGTTTTCTTTTTGGATAGAGGTGTTATGTTAATGTTCAGTTTAATATTGGAAAGATGTAAGAGGGGATACAGGAAATACCGGTCTAGCAAGACAGACGCGCTTCTACATACACTGCGTAGTGTAATTCTAGCTAAACCTGTAATAATACCTCTTGTTCAGGTTGTGTTGTGATAAAAGGCTGGAAGCTAATAAAATGTTGCTGGGGAGTGTCGTGCGTTTGGGAGAGGGAGGAGATCTGAGGGAGTAGGGGTTTTTTATTTTTATTTTTTTTTCTTCTCAGGTTTTTTCTTCTTCTCAGTTTTGTAACTGGGCTTGCCTAATAGGGATTTGTAAGGGATTTGGAGATGTGGTTCCAGGTAGCTGACTTGCTGTGTGAGAGATGAAGCAGAACTTGGAAAGTGCTCTCCTAAAGAGATGCTTAAGTGATGACTGTAAATACCTAGGACTGTTTCATACTCTGGCCCCAAACCTGTGCTCAAGAAGCAACTGCTTCAGTCCCTCTCCCTTGTGGTGTCCCCCTACCTTCTTCCCCAAGCTGTCCATGTTTTCTGGCTGTCTCCATAGCCTGTCCTCTTTTCCCCATTCCCACTTTCCACCCGTCCTCACCAGCAGCTGGTATCAGCCGGGAGTCCATTATGGAGACGCGTATCTCACCGTGCAACTCGCCTCTGATGCGTAAGTCGTTATTGCTATCAGGTGTGAGGCCGCTGAGGAGGACATCACCCAACCTGATAAATTGGTTGGGAAGTAGCTATAGCCCAAAGTATCTGCAAGCTGTCTGAGTAAGAAGATAGGTTTCAACTCCAACAGAAGGATGTCTTTTTCACCATACCTGGAAATGCTCAGAAAAACGGGCAGACGTGGCACTTTGGGACATGGTTTAGTGGATATGGTGGTGTTGGGTTGATGGTTGGACTGATGATCTTGGAGATCCTTTCCAACCTTAGTGATTCCTAGTTTTTACTTTCATTAAAATAATCCAGCCAGCAAGCCAGGAAACATGAAATTGCTACTCTCCCCTTAATTGGTTTAGTGCTGGACTTGGTAATGTTAGGTTAATGGTTGGACTGGATGATCTTAAAGGTCTTTTCCAGCCTAAACGATTCTATGATTCTGTGATTCTTCTAAAGTTACAGTAAAATTGAGTGAGAATGCTCTGTGCCGTGCCTTGAGCGTTGGGTACCAGCGTTTAGGAGCTCGATGCTTCGCAACATCAGCAGCTGCTGTTTGAAACAAAGCTGCAGTTGTTTTTATCCTGTTTGGAGCCCCGATACCTTGCTGAGGTTAACCTTATCTCATTCACTGGGGCAAAGACTGTTACAGCTAGCAGGCTAACTCAAAGGATACTAAGTAGTGAAAATAGCATGTGATTTTTAGAGCACTGGGTCACGGTATACTGTGTCCAAACAGCGCTGCCAGCAGCAGAATTCAATCAGTAACTATTCCTGGGAGACTTGCTCTTTGCCGTGCTGGTCCTCTAACAGCGATGCTTTGGTGACTACTTCTTCGGCAACGTACAGTTGAGGGAAGGGTCTGGTTGCAGAATTGTTCTGGAAGACTCGTGCCATCCTGATTAACAGGCAGTACAGTAGACCTTGTTGGTGAGTCGTTAAGAAGTTGAAGACTTCAGCATTTATTTACTGGGGCAAGGGGTAACAGACCTTAAAATCCCTTTGTTCTGATTGTTGTGCATCTGTGGAGTCTGTAAATAATTGGTATTGCACAACCAAGGTAGTTTTCCCTTGGAAATTGGATGTTGAAGTTCACTGTGGTGCCTGGTTCAAGTGATCTTCAGCACAACAGCTCCCGCTGTTGCTTTGATAGAGCAGACAGAAAAACAAGCTGTTAATCATTGCCACTTTCTAAGGACCGATGTGTTTCCACCTGCCGATGCAAGAAGCTTTTGACAGAACAGTGCAAAACATCTTAATACCATGAACTGATCCAAGCAACGTCTCTACCTGAGTGGTCTGAAGAAAATGTTTGTTACTGGGCACAAGCATGCCAGTGTCTGGAAAGCCAAGCGTTGTGCAGCCTTGTGCCAAAGTACAGAGTGTAAGATAGATGAAAGGAGGCAGCTAACTCACAAGCACAGGGTGATGAGCTGGAATGACTTATTTAGTAATGATAGACTATAAATCACTGAGCTAGATGTTTGGCTAGTTGGATTTTAGTTCTGTTATTGGAGACGTCTGGCTCCAGTAGCTGATACAAAGATGATTTTTTGTGAGTAGGCAAGTCTTCATTAATGCAGGATTTGTACTGAGGGTGGTGGTGGTTTTCCCAGTAAGTGTCATCATGTGAATTTATCATGTGGTTATCATATACCATGTGATAACCACTGAAAGCTTTGGTCTGTATAAATTTGGTAACTATCATTTGCTGTGCGTTTCCAGGGTGCCAGATACATTTTGCTGAAGCTTCCTGGCTGGGTCAGGCTCTGTGGTTGTCACAGAATTGCTCAAACTTTCTTTAGTCTATAATGAGGCACAGCTTTTGTTGAATAACTACCGATTTAATTATAAATGTTAATTACCGTTTTTAATCCAAATGATATTGACAACGATAGTAAGTTAAATCCCTTACATGAGCGGTATAAATTTGTTAGCACGTTAGAAAGGTACGATTCTGAAAGGAACGTCTGTCGTGATGCATAATTGATGCTGTTGGTCGGATTTGTTGGAGCGTTGCATTGAGTGCTGGTGTCTGTGCTGCAGGGGGTGTGAGGCTGGAAAGGTTTGGGGAATAAGTGCAAGAATAATGTTGGGGAACAAGTGCAAGAATGATGTTAAGGACGATGAAATCTGATCTAAGGAGAGGTTCTTCAGACACAAACCCACAATCAGATTTATCAAAGGAGAGGTTAAGAAATGACTTGAATGCAGTTACAAATTGGGAGAAGGTGTATTTTGTTTGCTCCCATGACCTTAAAAAAAAAAAAAAAAAGATGAGATGAATATATGAGATAGTCTAAGGGTTGGCAGCTAAAGTTACACAGACACTGATGAGAGGGCAGCCTGTATGAATGAGCATCATTCGTCACCAGAAAAGCTTCCAGTTCTAATTCAAAACTGGATGCTCTTTCATGAAACAAGTGGTGGTTCAACTGCGTTTTGCCACTGGGATCTGGGAGTGGAAGGCAGTTGCCGGTGGTGTTCATTCGGGGCATGGTTTTTAGTGATCCCCCTTTTTAGCGATCCCCCTTTTTAGTGATCCCCCCTACACCTTAGGGTGTAGTTGTAGCACAAACTGTTGATAGACTGAGGGCTGTGGGATTCCTGGAGTCAAAGGGTTAATGCTAAGGAGACAGAGCTGGCAAACAAAGCAAAACTGCAGCGTTCCCGTGTGCGGGACGGCAGACGAGGTGGATGGTGGAGCTGGGACACGCAGCAGCTGCAGGGGCAGATCTTACAGGGTGTTCCAGCACAAATTAAAAAAAAAAAAAAAAAAAAAAACAAAAAGAGGAAAACATGCTGTACTTAATTGTTTGTAATTGGGGAGCAAAGGGGATTAATTATTGGGGTCAGGGCAAATATTTTCATTTGAACCTTTTTAGTACAGATTAAAAAGTAAAAGTTTCCATCCCGAAAACATCGGAAGGGGCCCTGTGGGAGATGTTTGAATAACTCAGCTCAGGAGGGTTTGGCCTCACATCGGAGGATGGGGAGAGCTCTGGGAACTCCTCCAGTCACAGCATAGCAGTGAGGTAGGGGGTGAGGCGTCCCTGCTGCGTTTTGTCCTTTCTTCTAATATTTAGACGCTTTTTCTCCCCCGGGTAACCAAAATAAAATCAAGATTCTTTCAGTAATAGCTGTTGGTATAGATACAAAAATAACACGAGCGTTATTTCAGAAACATCAGACTGAAGTGGGTAGGAGATTGGAAACTGTCGCAGTCTTCATTTAATACGTATTTTGTTTTCTTCCTCTTTTTTGTTTTCATTTTGGAAATCTTGGTTGGTTTGGTGTATGTTTCAGTTTGTATTCCAAAGATTATAATTTATGTTAGTTAGGCTCCCAGTGAACAGTCTCCAGTCTCTCAAAACCGTATTAAAATGTAATAAAGGAGGAGGGTTGTTTTTTTTTCTATATTCTTGTTTGCGTAGTTCGATTTCTCTTAAATTAGAAGTGTGAATTTTTGATGGCAAACATCACCATATGCAGGAAAACCATGTTTGGGGTCTATTCGCACTCCTTCCAAAACTAGCAGGATTGCAGCGGTTTCAGGGGCTGCAGAGCCTTTGGGAGGGAGCTGAACCATGCACACAGTGGAATTATTAGTTGCGGTCACTCATGTACTTGTAGGGGCAATACCACAGCCATCGACTGTGCAAAGCAAGCCGCCTGGGTCACGCCTGAAGGCAGCGTCGGGGCCTCGGCTGGATCGCTCCCGAGGTGGCTCAGGGCGGGTGGCCAGCATCCCTTCCCGTTATTTTCACGGAGCTGCATCTGTGCCGTAGGCCAGTTATTCATTTCTGCTGTGCAGGTTTTCTGTCCAAAGGGTACCCTTTCATCTGGGCTCAGCCAAGGCGTTGAGAAGGAGGGAGGGGAAATCGTGTTTATTGGAAGACTTCCATGTTCTCTCTCCCCGCAGTGGGATCTCGTATGTGACAACGACTGGAAGGGACCCCTGAGCACCTCCCTGTTCTTTGTGGGCGTCCTGCTTGGATCTTTCGTATCAGGACAGCTCTCAGACAAGTAAAGTATATACACCAGAGCCGCTGGCTCTTTGCTCGATGCTGTTTTGTAAGCAATTCTTGTACGTGAAGTTTGCTACAAGTGTCTTTCTGCAACTACTAAGGTGTCTTTGTTCTGTGACTGTCGAATCTGAATGACGCAGAGTGTATAGAGTAAATGTCCTGAAGTAGAACAGAATGTTACAAAGATTGTTAGTGAGTGTTATCTTTATCTGTTTATTTTTTTCAGCGAAATCACTTCTGGAGCAAACTGGTTTTATGCCAGAAAACAAGTGTAGGAGATAAGTTTCATCTGTAAAAATCAGATTAATGACATTCTCTTCTAATTACTTTGGACTATGTTCAGAGAGTTCGCTGAGGCTTGTTTTCGGGTTTTTTGAGGTCAAATTTAAAATCTTCTTTTTATAAACACCCAGAGCTTCTCATCATCAAATCCAACATCTAAGTCCAGTGACCTGTGTTTGTGGAAGCTGCAAAGCATGAATGCTGTTCAGCTGTACTTCAGAGAAGCAAGGCGCTCTTGTTTGGGGATTTTTTTTTTTTCTGTATTTCTAGTCCAAGAGTACGCTGGCTTTCTTGTTTATCAGTACAAAAATGAAAAAATGGAAGACACCATGAGTTCTTTTTCCCCGTCTTTTAAAGCTCAGTTTTTCTGATTATCTCCCTGAGATTTGCTGTGCTGTCTTCCTGATTCCCAGAGAACAATGTGTGGTCCTCTAGTTTGCTGATTTACTTGTAGAGTTTCTATTTCTTTGAAACATAATCCCTATGCCACAAATCTTGTGGCATCCGTTCAGGGCCTTTGCGTGGTTTCTTGCTAATCAGGTTGGACCAATCTTGAGCTTGGAGACAATGATCCTTGGAAATCAACCAGCTCCCCTGGACTTCTCTCCAGAGCCATATGCCATGGGATTTTTCCAAGCAGATTCTTGATCAGGCCAGTGTTTGCTTTCCCTGTGATCCTGGTGTCTGCCTTGTTCCCCCACTCAGGATCCCAGGATCCTGCGCTTCACCATCGCACAGCCAGCAGCCATGGTTGCTGCCGACCTTTACGTCCTCAAACAGTCCTCCCTTGTTTGCAAGCATGGGGTCCAGCAGTGTCTCCCCTTGTCGGCTCCTTGGACATCTGTGTTAGGAAGTTGTCAGCGATGCACTTCAGAAAATTCCTGGGTCTTGTCCCTCCAGCAGGTATTGGAGTGGTTGAAGTCCCCTGTGATGGCCAGTGCCTTTGAACACAAGGCTTCCTCTGCTTGACTGACGACAACTTCTTTCTGATGGGGTGGTCACCCGCAGCGGTGCCAGCGTTGGTCTGCCTGCTAATCCCGACCCATAAGCTCTCAGCTGGCTCATCATCCGTCCCCAGGCAGAGCTCTGTGCCTTCCAGCCGCTCTCCTGCGTGAGGGGTGATTTCCCCTTTTCAGTGTGGGGAGTCTCCCACCGCTTCGTCCTGGTGCTGCTGCAGGGCTCACGTGCTTCATTGAACAGAGCTCCTAGCCCCTCACCTGCTATGAGGGTGCCAAGTGTCTTCCATGGTGGCTAACCAGCAGGTGAAGCAGGAGCTGTTCTCCCAGTGCCAGAAGCCACGAGTTTCCCACCTTCACCATCACGGGAGTCTCCTCCTGCAGTTCCTTCACATGGTCACCCAGATCCTCACCAAGTGCCGTCGAGGAGGCCATCAGCGCAGCTCATCCAGTTACTCTCATCGCCGCTGAACGGCAGCTAGCTCACGGTCTAGAGACCAAGTGCATCCAGCCGCCCCACGAGGAGACTGCTTCGTCAAGGTCGCATGCGGTGTTTGGCTGCCACCATCTGCCCGTCTGGTACAGCAAGTCCTGCGGCGAGCCCGAGCCCTGCGCGCCTGGCCAGGCGTGACAGTGAGATTGACAAAATATTTTGCAGGTTCAAGTAACGCTCTGTTCTTAATGCGTTGTGATCTAGCTGAGGCTTGTGGCACCCAACTGTAGACCTCCTGGTTGAGTCTAACTCAAAATGGAGTTGGGTGAACCTGCACTCAGCCGATGTCCTGTCGCAGGCTGCAAAGTCTGCTTGCCGTGTGGAGCTGCCCAGGCTGGGACATTGTCACTGACTCTTACAACAGCGTGATGGGTTGGGTTTAGTTTAATTTCTTTTCTTTTTAATACTTCATCAATAGAATTGCTAGAATCCCTTAAATGGGTTCTTTTTTTTTTTTTACCAAGTGGAACGAAGATTGCAGCGTGGGATCGCTTACTGATAATAGCATCTTACAAACCTGAGTTTTACCTCTCTTTCAGAAGCTTTCATTCTTTTTCTGTTTGTGGTTTTGGGGATTTTTTTTTTTTTTGACATGCTGATCTGTGTCATGAACTGTGTGCTCCTTAGAGGAGAAGGAGCATCTAATACTCTTGATTTTAAATAATTTGCTGCCGATGATTTGTCTCCCTGCTTATCCTATTTGGAAGGAAAGAATAGCGTTCTAGCGCATACCTAAAGGCAACTTACCTAGCAGCCCTTGGAATATTATTTTCTCTTGGCCACTGGATTTCTCAGTGTATTTAGAATAGTTGTGCCTGTGTCACGTTTCCTGAACCTTTGCTTTTTGCAGATGTTTTGTATCTCCCTAAGTATGCATATGAGTGATCTTATTTTTCCATTTCTGAAGATTTCATTCATGCTGTTGTATAATCATCTCTTCTTTTTTTTTTTTTTTTTTCCATTAAATCTGGAAGGTTTGGCAGGAAGAACGTGCTGTTTGCAACTCTGGCAATGCAGACTGGCTTCAGCTTCATACAGGTCTTCTCTACCAGCTGGGAGATGTTTTCGGTGTTCTTTGTGCTGGTCGGCATGGGACAGATATCAAACTACGTGGCAGCATTTGTTCTCGGTATGCAAGTCCTGCTGGGCACAGTATGCGTTCTTTAGTCTTGTGCTTTTCCTGCTCCTTTTCAGTACTGCCTTACGGTTGATTTGTTTTGCCAAGCAACACTGTTGAGAGTGTGTCCTCACCATGCATGGATAACTCAGGCTCTCCTTGGAAGTTTCCAGTTGATCGTAGTGCAATCTGAATTAAATCTGTGGCTTACCATCCTAAAAAGGAAAAAAAACGCAGAAATTGATTATTTGAAACAAAATGTGTCTTCCAGTTGGAAAGATAGATGTGTAAGATGTGATTTTTCAGGGATTTTTGTTGTCTGTTTTGGGGCCCAAATGTGTAATTGATGTATAAACTTGTAAAAGAAAAGAAAACATCAAGTAAGCATTACAAAGTCTATTTAAAACAGCCTGTAGTAGAAACCTAAATGGCATAATGACTCTGCTTGGTATATTTTCAATTTAACTAAGAACATATTTGATCAGATGGGAATGTGAATTACCTTATGAATCTGAGATTTTTTAAAAAAAATTTGGGGTTTTTTAATTAATATTACTTACAGTAGCCTCACCGTCCAAAGTACCAAATGTTGGCAAGAAATTCCTTTTGGGCCAAAGAAGAGCAGTGCAGCTATGAAAACAGTCTTTAGCTAACCTGACTGCAGACATCCTGTTGCAACTTCTGTAATCTTCTTCCATTTCTGTGGAAATGAGGAAGATTATATCTCTTACAGTGCCTCTTGATTTGCAGGTCCCAAAGTGTTTCGGAGGGAAGCGTTGGCCCATGTTAGCGCATTTAATTCCACTGCCACTGGCCTGGCCTTTGTTAGTGACCCTCCACATGTGTACGCCAAAAGACTGCAAGATTTTTGGCTAATAGCAAAATAGCCCTTTAGAAGGCGATACGGGTCAGGAACCTAATTTAGGCATCCCTGAATTATCTGTTAGAGAAGCTGGTCTCTCTCCATACACTGGAGAGGACCCTATAGGGATCAAGCTGAGGCTAAGTGCTGTGAATGTTTTGTAGTATGTCAAGTGGTTTTAGCTCCTCAAGTAAAATGGGAGGTTCTAAGAACGTAGAATTATGGAAGTTTTAGCTACTTCGAGCTACAGAAATACAGTATGGCCCGGTTCTCTTCGTTTTATATTTACCTGGGTTGATGCAGGATCACTGCATGAAGCAGCTCTGTGGTGCCTCTAAAATCGGCTGGCAGAGCGCTGTATGCTGTCGCTACCGGGTGTAGTGTATTTCAAAGCCAGTCATTAGAGGTATTTTTGGTAAGTTACTTGGCCGCTATTAAGTTAAAATACTAATGTTCGCTCTGTTGTTTTGAACAGGCACAGAAATTCTTGGCAAATCAATTCGTGTGCTGTTCTGCACGCTAGGCGTTTGCATATTTTATGCATTTGGCTACATGTTGCTGCCCCTGTTTGCTTACTTCATCAGAGACTGGCGGATGCTGCTGCTGGCGCTTACTTTACCTGGGCTGCTCTGCATCCCGCTCTGGTGGTGAGTATAACTAATTTAAAAGACTTCAGTCTTTCAAAGGTCCTATCTGCAGGTTTTTAAGATCCGGACGCCAAGCCAGCCAGCCTTTAGCAATGAAATTCGGGAATGGGCAGGTAAGGAATGGACGTTGTGTCCTTTACTCTTCCCGATCATTTAGTTGCAAGTCCATAGCTTTGTGGGTGATCGGACTCATGTCTGAAAAGCCTATTCTTCATTTTCTGTAGGCTTCTATAAAACTAAGTGATGCACACGCAAAGAAAAAAAAAAAGTAAATAAAACTCATCCTTCTGCACCAGCTGAAATCCATGAACTTTTCAGAGTGGGCCTGAACTAAGGGCAGAAGGAGAAACCAGTTGGTTTGGGAAGCTGGGCAATGCTAGGGTGACATGGATATGACAGGCTACAAAACAGTACTTGCACTGCTGTGAGGCTCCCATGTTTTCTTCCATAGTTAATGAAATACTACTTCTGGGTGGCATGTAAAGCTTAACTAGTCCACGTGGTGGTGGTGTTTCTTCACTTACACTCGCATTTATGTTTGTGATTCCATCTGGGTTCTTACAAAGTTGAATGACTCAGGCGAATTCTACTTTCTGACTCGCCTTTATATGACACTACTTACAGTTACTAATGTTATATGTGTTACTCTCTAAGGATATGCCCCTTAGTGTACAGTGTGCTGCTTGTGTATTCACATTTCTGAATTTCTTCAATTAAACTGTTTTCCCGTACTTGGAAGGTTTTGGTTGCTTTTTTTCCTGAGTCATTGCTTATTTCTTTAGTATTTTTAAAATTCACAAATGTATTTTTGCATGTCTTCTTGTTCAGTATGCTAGTCTGCTCTTGTAAATCTGATTTCAGATTGTTGTCATTGCTTTAATGTCTGCAAGATAAGGCAAGTTTTGAGCTCTTTGTGCCTGGAACAATGTGTATTGGCACCTGCAACAGTGCTTTCTGTGGAAATGCAGGCTCGTTATTCTGAACCTTTTTTGCAGGGTTATTCCTGAATCTCCACGGTGGCTGATCTCCCAGGGAAGATTTCAAGAGGCAGAAGACATCATCCGAAAGGCTGCAAAAACTAATGGCATTACGGCCCCAGATGTAATACTTGACCCTAGTGAGGTGAGATTTATTCAGCAGTCCAGTTGCTTGCTGGACCTATTAATGACCATGTGAAGTGATTAATTGCCAGATACATGAACTGAGTTATGCCTGCAGTGTATTATGTACTTCTCCAATGGGTAAAAGGTCATCCTTTTCCTGAAAAGCAGAATACCCTTTCCCCGCTTCATTAAGATTTGCAAAGCCCTTGCTGTCCCATTTCCATGGGAATGCCAACTTGCATTCTAATGCAAACATCTTTTTGATCCAGTTTACAGCCACCTTTTTCCTTTTAAACTCTAGTTTTTGGGGGAAGGTCATGAATTTGAGGTACCTTTTGCTTTGTGATCTAAATACCTGCGCTGTACAGATTTTATGCTTGTGCAGTCTAATACAGTTCTATAAAAGTTTAACACAAGACTAATCCTGGCCAGTGGCAGTGAAAAGAATGTCATTCTAGTTCAATTCCATATTCAACTCTCATTTCTACTCCATGTTAAGGAGAGCAAAACTTGAGGTCTCTTTGGGTGGAGTAGCTAGCAGTCTTTTCTTCTCCATCCGTTTCTTCCAACGTGTTCTTGTTTCCTCTAGGTATCCCCCATTTGTCTGAGCTGTTGGTGACCTTAAGATGTAGAAGCAGTTCCACACTCATTCAAACATCGTTTCCAAAAGTCAGACAGACAAATGGTTTGCATAATCCAGGAGAATGGGCACCTCTCTAGGCGAATCTGTAGAGTCTGTCTGGGCAGTTGCCTAATTGTGTTCCGCTTGACGATTGACATTGTCTTGTTGTTTACGTGCAAATACCTTGTATATTCACTTGTTTTGCAAGGCCTCTGTACCAGACTAAGGAAAATGGTTAGTCATTAAACTGTGGTGTGCTCGCTATTGAGATTGAAACAGCTTCACTTGGGTTGAAGTTAGCTGAAGGGCAAACAGAGCTGTTTGTCCAGACTTATTTGTAGGTAGTAGGACAGACATCCTGTGTTCCTGGAACAGAGTGAGAACGCCAGGAAAACCCAGACCTTCTTATGATAGCTTTTTCCCCAGATTTTCATTAGAACATGCTTTTTTTTTTTTTTTTTTTCAATCTTTTTACCCCGGATTTCACTAAAGAATGTTTTTTTTTTTTTTTTTTTTTTTTCCTCCTTCCTTCTTATGCTGTAGGCATGAAAACTCGCCCATTGCCATCACTACAGCAGGAGAACTGAAAATAAACTCTGGCTCCAACATCTGCTTAAGGTCACTGTCCCTGGAATCCTCCATCTCCCGTTCTTAGCAAGAAATACTGATCTGTTTGCCATCTCTGAATGGGGCTGGATTACGAAGCAGCAGAAGGCAGGGGCAAGAGCATGGATGGTGCCCCAGGGAATGCTGGACCAGGGGAAATGCTGACTTCTGCAGCAGGGTGGGCTGTAAATAAGCAGGGTGCTTATTTACAGATAAATCATTGCACATCAACTTTCAGAAACACAGATTAACATTCTGACGCTGAAAAGCAGATGAGCTCGATGAACAGGCGCTATTTCAATGCAGGACTCCTGTCCATCTTTTTACTTTTTAAGGTAAAAGTAACGCTGTGACCAGAAAAATCCGTGCAAAACTTTTCTTCGTCAGTGGTCTGTTTATGCTGTTCTTTTGTCTGCTTTCTGAAGAGCTGTAAAGCAAAAGGCTCGCAGCCTGTCTTGAGTTTCTAGGAAGCATGTTTACGCTACAGGGAGGTTCTTAGAAGTCCGGCTGGCCCTTAGCCCTCATGCAGCTGGAATGTGAGTTCGGGATGGAGAAGCAACCTGAGCTCGTGTTTGGAGTATTCCTGGAACCCGTGCAGCTGGAGAGCAGCACGTGCAATATTTAGGCTCCAGAGATTTCAAAACCAGTTAGGATCCAACAGGTGACTAGTCACAAACAAGCTGCAGAGCACAAATAGGGCCTGGTTGGCTGAATTAATCCCATATGAGGGGGATGGAAATGTTTGGATGATAGGTTTAACTTCAAATAATCATTTTACCCTCCCTGCCCTTCTCATAGCTGCTGCTTCTAGCCCATCCTGTTAAGGATTATGCTGTCCGCTTATCCAGCTCCTAAAAGGCAGGGTCCTTTTTTCTCATCAACTGTGACTCTCTGAATGTTACTGTTCCTGGCTTTGTTTTGTGGTTTGTTTGTTTTTTCTCCTTTCTTTGTTTCCTGTTTGCTGGTTTCTTGGCAACGAGTAGTGGCAAAACTGGAGAGTGCTTAGGAAAGATCATGTGATTTATGAGAAAGGGCTGCGAACTGTAAAGCTGACTGCAGTTTGTGTGGTGGGAGGTTTGGCTTCAGGCAGCATGAAAGCTATCAAATGTAAAGAACTCTTTGCCTTTTGTAGAAAATGAAGATTTATGAAAGCAAATACACTGAAGTTTGGCGTGCACGAGCATCAGACCGCTATTTTATCCTTCAGGTCTTCAGAACAAAATACCACTCCGAAAGAATTGTCACCTGGCTGCAGGGGTTACATGAACTTGGTGTTCCCATTAGCTCAGATACAGTTTACGAGACATTGAGGAGATAATGTGCGTTTTGAGTTGAGGGCCAAGAGTTAAGGGCTCCAAATCAGTGTCCAGCAACTAGCTTGCCAAAAGAAACATCACTAACTGAATATGGAAGAGAGGTTGATGAGGATTTAAGTTAAACTAATGGTTGCTTTTATCTCTTTATTGGTGTGTTGTGTCCTGCAATACATGCAACTACTTCTGCTGGACCAGCCTGACGTTTTAGGGAAAAAAGTATTGTAAGTTGAACTAACACCAAGTAGAGGATGATACATTAGACCAGGTGGAAGGAGTTTAGAAAAGTTTAAAGCAGTGAGTAATTGCACTATTCTGAAGCTACAATCATAGTTTAGTTTTATTGATAATCACTTGCACATACCACGAAGGAGTATACAGCGCTGACAAAAGGCATGCGGTCTTTAAACATGTTAACATTTAATTTGACATTCTGAGGTCACGCTGACTTAAAAATATCAAGGGAGGAAGTAATCTTTGTATACAGTTTATTGTGCTTGCCCATAACAGAGGTCAGTCAAGCAAGAGTGATTCTTCTAGTTGTGGAAAGAGAATACTTCACTAAATATTGTGAGGTGTCTTGGCAGCTTACAATTCAAAAAGCGTCAGAATTAAAAATATTTCAGTATTACCTTTTTTCATTTGATACTTTTGAGCTGCTAAGGTGGATGCTTGCTTCTTTCTTGGTTAGATTCCTAACTGTTGATAGAGTCACAGGTTCAGATAGATCTAAAATGTCCTAACAGAAAAAAGAATCTCTGTGGAAGATTGTAAGATCAAAATCTTGTTAATGTTCTTACTGTAAGGCTGTTAAAAATACCATTAAATTGATGAGTAAGTAGCCTGTGATAAATCCTGAAAACATACCGTCTTTTGCAGTAACAAAAATATGACATGTCTAGAAAACTGTGGTTCTTCAGCCATATAGTGTTGCTTTATCAGAGTGGATAGTTTTAATCAATGGAACTTGTCCTCTTAAATCGCCTTTTACATATTTTGAAAAATCTCTCTCTTGTTACCCCTTGTTAGGGGGCTGAATTAAAGTCCTAAATTAAAAAAACCCCTTAAATTCTTCCCTTTTTTACAATCTTATCGAGCACAAAACTTGTTCATGTGTTTCATGGATGAATATCTTTGCCTTGTTTACATGGAAGTGGTTTTATTTTGGGGAGCTGGAAAGGTTCATGGGGAGAGGAGAAGTTTGCTGTCTTTTTGCTTATATTCTTAGAAGAAGATCTCAAAACCAGGCTAGATAATGATGGGGACTGTTACAGTTCATTAGCCAGTTTGTCTCAGTCTAAATACATTACTGATAGGTCCAGCATGAGGAGTCATTTACTAAACCTGTCCTGCTGCTGTTTAATCTTGTTATTTCTTGCGTGTCTGCAGTAGACATAGAGGACAGGTTTTTTGCTGGTCTTTGAAGACCATTCTTGGTCTTTTAAGACTCCCTCGGTCTTCTGGCCCTTAGGTTAAAGAAACCCTCTGCTTTTCAGACTTTTACAGATCACATTTTTCAAATGTCTCATCATCCTTGTCGCTCTCTTCTTGTCTGGGTGCAGCTGATTTGCACGATCCTCAAGGTGCAGTCCCCAGAACTGGACATAAGAACCCTGCCAATAATCATACATTAATGCTGTTGCTTTATAATTCAAGTATAAAAGTAACTATAAGCGGTTGCTTTATGGAGCCTCAGGCAGAGAAGATGATTACAAATTTCAGCCTAAATTTTAAGTGACTTTCAATTAGGGAGGAGCAACTACTTTCACAGGTAATTGGCTTATGGCTTTTACGTGTTTGGTTAAAAGTGAGGCATCTGTTTCAGCTCTGCAGCATATTAAAATAGTGATATATAAGTTTGGGGGGACTTACTTTCACAATAAATCTGCTTGCAGGAAAGTTAATGTTCCCATGCGGGTTTTGTTTTTTTCCAGCTGCAAGATTTGAATTCCCAGAAGCAACAGACATACACCATTTTGGATCTAATGAAAACCCGAAATATCCTAACTATCACAATTATGTCAGTGATTCTTTGGTAAGTGACTATGGCTCAGGAGTATGTAAGCACAAAAGCAGCAGAACAATTAAAAACTGCTCTTTGAACACTCAGGTATTCTGAAGAGATACAGACAAAACCAGCTAAAACCCAATGACCTGCTGGCTGCAGCGGCAAAATTCTGGTTAAATAGGTTCTTCATTTCAGTAACCGTCTGGAAACGCATCTGGATTGTTATTTCTTTCTGAAGCAGTCAGGCATATCCCGAACTGAGCAAGAATCAGATCAGCTGGCAATGATGCATGGGAATCCTGCCTGATACCAGGCCTTGGGGAATCCTTATCTGACTGTAATAAAGTCTTTTAAGAGGAATGAGTCAAGCCCTGTCTCCCAGTCAGAGGACTTCTGCCCAGGGGTCCGCAATGCCTGATTTGCGGGGAGAATCTTCCCATCCCTTTTGTATTGTCTCTTAAAGGGATAAAGCTGCCTTTGAAGTTCTAATCTGAGATTTCTCTAGACTTCCCTGCTAGCTACTCTGTCTACCTGCCATCTTCAGCTTGGTTTTGCACTAGCTGAAGCCATACTGTATACTCAATTTGATTAAATGGTTGTCATTTTATTTTACTGGAAATCTCAATGAAGCTGTAATTGCCCAGAAGAGAGGAGACAGAGAGGGTAACTTACAACCTGCCAGATGCTATGAAAGTGAAGTTTAATTAGTGCATGTACCTACAGGGTTCTAACGAAGAAGGTCCCTCAAGTGCTTTGGAGCTAACCAAATCTATTTGCTGCCTTACTGAACAATGTTCCTGTGCTTTATTGAGGCAAAGCCTTGGAGTTCAGTCCACTGAGCTGCCAGCGCGGACAAGCTGATGTAGCTTTTTTGGTCAAAGGATGACTTGGCTAATATTTAAGTCAGATTTCCTTGCCTACCGCCAAGCACAGTGCTACAAACACACTGAGAAAAGAACTTGAGCAGCAAACAGCTCAAAAAAGAAATGTAACGTTGGTTCTTTGCAGACATGTCAGTACAGTTTCTGTATACGGTTGTTTTTCCTCCAAGTCCAAATGCTGACTCTCACCTTTAACTGGAAGTGAGCTAGAGAGTTGAGACTGCCCTACTTCTTATAATCTGCTTGGAGTAGGGAAGTAGTGAGTTCCTAGGCACAGCCAATTTTCCATGTGTGGCTGTAGAAATCAAATGCAAAACCTATTTGAACAGCATTTCTGGTAGGGCAAAGCATCTGAGAAGAAACAGTGATGTGGCAGTACGTAATCCATTCCATATGCTTGAAGGGCTTTTTACCAGATGATAAATGAAGTTTTATGATAGGCAGAGACAAACATGTACGACTGACTCACACAATCTTACCTCCTCTTGCAGAAAAGTATTCAGTTGATTTGGGCAATTTTTCCAGTGTTTTTTCCGTGCATGTCATTTGCCTAACCTCCTTTTAATTAATTTGCCAAAATATAAAGCATCTTGTGCTGACTCACAGCAATGTTTTCCAACCCATAGTGTACCGATGGTATTTTCTGCATTACGAATTGAAAGATCTCATAAAAGAAGCTCTGTAAAAGGACGGTTGCAGATAGCCGTATATCGCCTTTACATATTGCTGAGTGTTTTGTTAATTTTGACTAAGTAGCGGGCCTTTAAACTCATCCCTTTGCTGGGTTTGCATCAGGGAGGAGAAAGTTTGGCTTCTCGTCACCCTGGGATGTGTAAATACCCCTAAAGTTTTCCTAGAAAATGTGTAACTGTCTCAAGGTTTGCCAATGTGATAAGCTAAGGCAAACTGCTGCTGAAAGTGAGTTCCAGAAAGCACGCTTTGTCGTATATAAAAGTAACTCCTCGGAGCACGGGGCTGGGCGTATTGCGCAGCATCGTGGAAAACACCGCGTAACTACTTTTGAGAAGAATAGCTTTAGCTGGCAGGGCGCACGCAGCAGCAGGGGGGTTACCCTCAGCTGTATCCCTTCGTACCTTCCCAGGTACACCAGGCAACTTATTTTAAGCAGTTGGACTGTGAAGGCTCTTCCCATGTGAAGTGAGGAGGAGGAAGGGCTCACCTTTGATCAGCGATCCACTTCATGCTATGCAGTGATTTTGCTCCGGGTTCTAACGTAGATGCTGAAGGAGACGAAGTGCCGAGTGCGCTGTGCCTCGCCGTTGCACCCGGACACGTCCTCACCCAGGGCCTGTTATTTCCTTGTTTGCCACGTGTTACTTGTTGGTGAAGCATCACCCTATCTTCCCAGCATCTCCCAAGACACGACGGTATTTATCTCCAAGGCCAGTGGTGTGTTTTCCTTGATCACGTGGAAGCCAGTTCTTATCTGGCAGTGGCACGGTTAAGATAGCAGTATTCCCAGCCACCGGGCTCTGTCCTGTTACACTGACCAGCCCAGGCACCGAGCCATGCGAACGTGGCTTGGCTGCTGCCCAGCCAGCTTGGGGCATGGCAGAGGAAATTCTGGAATTTTTGGGTCTGCCAGGTTGCCATATTCCTCCTCTCTGACTTTATACACAAAGCATGGAGGGTAATGACCCAGAAACAATCTTATCTGCCCAGAGCTCCCTGATAAACATAGTGAAAAGCTACTGTTGGCCTCAGCAGCAATAAAATTCAGTAGTCCAAACTTTCAGGCCAAGGTTATAACTACTAGTAATAGGAACTGCTGTGTCGCTGCATTGTGAATGATTATCACTTATCTTCCAGGGGTGACCCAAAATATGGGGGTATACGTGAGAAGCAGTCAGCCCCTCTCCATCAGCATGACTAGCAGAGACAAATGAAATATCTAAAAGTGACAAGTACCAGAGCTTCCTTGCACACTCTGAGTGCGAGTGGGATGAACAGTTGCAAAGTCATGCAATGGCATCAGAAAAGAAGTGTGACCGCTGTAACTGCAGGACCATTCGTCACCGGTGGGCTCGTAGGCCTGTGCCTCAGCAAGGCTAGCAACAGCTCTAGAGTTACCTAATTGTGTTAATGCTGAATAGGATATATAGTTTTTTTAAAAAAATCTATTTTATTCCTTGAATTGAAGAGAAACTTGAAAGGTAAAAAGCATCAGCACTGTGTAATTGTTACCTTGCTGTTTCTGAAGTCAGCACTTAAGATGCTTCAAAGGTGAAAGAATCTGGCAGATGCTGAATTTGCCTTACATAGTGATTTCTGTGCTTAACAGAGGTTCATGGCAACCTCAGGAAGAAGAGAAAATTGTCTGATCCTGTTATTCTGCTTCTTTCAGGATGATCATCTCTGTTGGTTATTTTGGACTTTCTCTTGACACGCCTAACTTGCATGGAGACGTCTATGTGAACTGCTTCCTCTCAGCAGTGATTGAAGTTCCAGCCTACGTTATCTCCTGGCTGCTGCTTCGAAGCTTCCCTCGACGGTATTCAATGGCTGCTGCGTTATTCTTGGGAGGCTGTGTTCTTCTCTTCATTCAGCTGGTGCCTTCACGTATGGAATCGTTAGTTGATCTCAAATATGTATGACAGGTGAAGCGCAGTACCGCGCACTGGGCAGATGTGGAGGAAAAGTGTCCTGTGGGGAACTAAATACAGCTACTCATTCCCTATCTTTGCCCCTCTTCCTTGCTTCTCAGTGCTGCTGCACAGGGAGCTCACACACCATGTCAATTCAGATACGTTTTTAAAGGTGGGTCATTGGCTTTGTGGTCTGTTGGGATCAGCTCTGCAGTCCAGTTTGACCTTCACGTGCATCCTGGCAAGGTGCCCTGGGAAGGTCCAAGTGTAAAACCAGGACTAGACCAACCAGAATTTGGGAAGCGGAGGTTACCAAGAGGCTACAGAACCAACTGCCCAAACAACTGTAAATGACTGTCTCTTTATGGCTTGTTCAAACTGTTCTGTTTGAGGGAGTCATTGTGGAAGCATTTTTGATGAGCAGAAATGCTTGTACTCAAATAGTGTTGATACTCATTAAAATAATGTTTGGCAACTGGAAAGGAGGACAAAATAACATCTGTTGGACATCAAACTGTACGTATCTTTAGGCCAGTTAGAATCACAGAACTCTTTGGGTGGGAAGGGCCCTTCAGAGCCCGCCCAGCCCAGCCCTGCAGTGCCAGGGACAGCTTTAACCAGCCCAGGGTGCTCAGAGCCCCGTCCAGCCTGGCCTGGGATGGTTCTGGGGATGGGGCCTCCACCGCCTCTCTGGGCAACCTGTGCCAGTGCCTCACCACCCTCGCTGTAAAACATTTCTTCCCTATATCCAGTCTAAATCTATTCATAGATAGATTTCTTAGTTAGATTAAGAGCGTTATGGACTCTTACTGGTAATGATATTGAATATGATGGGGCAGTGTTGTTGGTTAGCACTTGTTTACATGTCAAAAGAATAAACAAAAGAGAATGCACAAGAAATGTCTTGCTTACTTTATACAAGTAATGCACGTGTTGCATTCTCTTTCTCCAGTCCTTTGAGTCAATTGGACACTGATAAGATCTGTTTTGATTTTCAGATCTAACTGTCTCAGTTAAAGTCAGCCTGGCTTCCTATAATTAAATTACTGACTTGTAGCTAGGAATGTTAATGAAAAACCAGAGCAGGAAACTCAAAATAACTTGTTTCGAATGTTTAACTTTGTTCGCCTTATTAAAAAGAGATATATGGCATCATTTGCAATAGCAGAGATCTGGCCCCTGAAACCTGAGAGGACCTCTCCAGTTCTTGCTCTCATTTTTTACATGGCAGGAAGCCCCATTGTCAAGGAAATGAACATGTTGAGTCCTGGTAATTTAAAATAAAAAAATAAATAAAACTTGTTGCCCATGCTTGGAGACATGTACACGGGAAAAGAGACACCAGATACTGGAATTAATTAGACGGGAGTTATACAAACACAATGGAATTGAGAGATACCATGAATTGTCAGAGCTTTATTGAAATCCTTACTGCGTTTTGATTTCAGATATTCGTGTGCTGTCGATTCTGCTGGTGATGTTAGGGAAATTCGGGATCACATCTGCCTTTTCAATGGTTTATGTCTACACGGCTGAGCTCTACCCAACCGTAGTGAGAAACATGGGCGTTGGAGCAAGTTCCATGGCCTCTAGACTGGGCAGCATCCTCTCGCCTTACTTCGTTTACCTGGGTAAGTTAACTCCTCCGCGCCTGCGCTGGGGAGGTGCTGGCGGGTGGAAAGCAATGCTTTTTACCCAGCTCCGGGTCCTGCCTCTGTGGGTCCTTGGGATTTTCCAACTGTTCTTTGTTTCCAGGTCCAGATGTGTTGTGAAACTGCAGGTAAAAACGGGGTCTCGGCATCTCTGAGCAATGGTCATAACGTAGAGAAATTGTGGTTTATGCCCTGCTGAAGAGATGCTCTGGAGACTCACTGTCTTATTGACTCAGTAGGGACAGGTCTTACAGCTATTGTTTCCCGGTCTCTTGAGTTCCTAAAACCACATTTAAAACAACGTATGCTTTGAATGCCAGACTGCGAGGGGGTTTGGTTTGTTTGCTTTTTACTGAAAGCATAAATCTTGCACGGATAAAGCTGCGTACCCAGGTACAGACGTTATCAGAGACTTAGAGCTGACGCTAGCTTCTTTTTGTGCGTGTATTCTGCTAGGTGCCTATGATCGATTCCTGCCTTACATCCTGATGGGGAGCCTGACTGTGCTATCAGGAATTCTGACTCTGTTTCTGCCGGAAAGCTACGGTATGCCTCTTCCAGACACAATTGAGCAAATGCTGTTGGTGAAAGGGTAAGTGTCGCCTTTTGATCTTAAGGTATCTGTTCTCTCTTCTGAGAAGAGGAGTGGACTTGCCGATATTGTCAGAGGGAGGGGCTGGTTTTGGTCGTGTAGTTCGTGCTCTGCTGAAGATACAAGAGCTTGGCTGGAATCCTGGTCCCTCTTCCCAAGCGTGTATGTTCATATGTACATCTCTCAGCTCCAAATTTATCATTTTACTCTGAGGACTGAATAGAAGTGTACATATAAGGAATGCATTTGTAAGAGTGTATTGCTTTATATAGTTGCTTTTAAAGGGGTGTGGGTTAGATCTATCTTTCTAGGTTCTGAAAGTGATATAAGGACTGGTGAAGGGCTGAGCTCTTCCAGTGTAGTTCAGCTGACCTAAACAGGCACTGAGAGCAGTTGGCCTTTTGCCACGGCTCTGACTGGAGATGGCACATAAGCACACACCTGGGGTAAGCACGGGACCTGTCCAACGGAAGGCAACAGGATATTAAAATCAAGAGGCTGTAATGTCAAATAGCGCTCAAGATATCAAAGAATTTTTTTTCCCCTGTTCTCTCATCTTTTTTTTTTAAGTTATTTTCTTTTTTCTTTCTTTTCTTTTTTTATTTTTTTTTCCCCCAGATTAGAATACAGGCCTGCATCTAGTGGCACAAGGGATTCCAAGGAGGAAGAAGAAAATCCAGAGATTTTTAAAAGCACAGCTTTTTGATGGAACTCCTGTGTACTTCCTGGTGGACTGAAGGTTAAATTCATTCTAGAAAGGGCTAGTGGCAAGACTTAGTTTGCTGTAATTTTAACCTTATTTATTAATTTAAACACACTGTTCTGTACATTCTCTTTTTATAGGAACATAAATACTGTATAGCCTTCAGTGAGATTTTTCAGCCATGGTTGTTTCAATGCAATAGTACCATGGAACAGTATCTGATCAGTCCTTTGTAACTTTAAGTGTATAGTTCAGCTGAAGGATACTTGAAAATGAGTTCAAGGGCTGGCAGGGTACCTGGATTCCTCAGTGAACCTTCTCCAGAACTAATGCACATCAAGAAGTAAAAATTGCCAGAAAAAAACCCACTAATTGGTTTTGATTCCTTGACTTCTGTCTCTGGACAGGAAACTTATTTATTGTAGTGAAGGTTATGAGAACGTGCCTCTGCAATCTTACTCAAGTGACTTTGCACATGCTGGATTTGCTACCAAATTCTGAAGGATGCAAAGAAAGATTTTGAGAATTAATTCTAGCTTGATATGTTTTAACTCAACACAGATTGAAAGGATTCTCTTGCACAAAATATTTATAGCACTGAAGTTTTGCTCACAAAATTCACTCGATTCCAGTGCTGGTTTTCAACTGTACCTGTACAGTGAAGTTGTTTACATCTGGCCCTGGATGTGGCCTGCTTCCAGGCCGTATTTTATTTTAAATGATGCAAAAGGTTTCATCTGTGTGTAGAGGGAGTGGCATTAACTTGGGGTTCTTCCATTTCAGTGTGTGTTGGAAGTTTTATGTCTGAATTGTTTTAACGTTTTTTGTGCAATTTGGATGATGGAAACGATTCTGCTGTCTTCTGTGCTTTTCACACACGTGCACATACGCACACAATCAATATATTTAGAGCTAAATTTTTGCATTAATCTATGCTGCTGCGTTGACCTCATGGCGGAATGTACCGAGAACAAAATTCAGAATGCATTTCTCAAGTGCCGACTGTATGATTGCTGTGAGGTCTGTTATTTCACTTAACTCATGTAATCAGTGAATTGTTTTCAAATTGTTCTAAAAAAAAAAACCCCAAACCTTGTTGACAGTCTGCCAAGTAGTTGTTCCTCGGGTCGCAGAAGCACCCTCGGCATTACCTGTGTTTCTTTAAATATGTGCAGCATACGTGTACGCTCGGTCTCATCTGTGCTATTCTGATCGGGCATTGCGTTAGACTTGGACAGATGCGAGTGGTGAAAGATTTCTCTCTTGTGGCACTTGTCTGTGTGTGTCCTGTCTTGTAGAGACTTAATATTAACAGAACCTAAACCTGTGTAGCCAAAGCCTGTTAGGGGCTTTACGCTCTGCTGGTCGTGGAAGTTTTGCATTTTCCTACTCTATTTAAATACATAGGTGGCATCGGCTGATTCCAGTCTTTTCTTAACCAATACCCCGTGATAACCAGCTCTAGTAGTCAGACTGATGCACCGGTGTGTGCCCTCCAGGCTGCTTGTCTTAAAAACAAGAAAGCAGGAAAAAACTGTATAGACTATAGCGGCTTGGTTTGATTTTTAAACTCTTCCTACCAGTGTCTTGGAGCTTTACGGTTTCCTCTGCTTTCCCTGCATTTTCTCACCTACTTGTTTAGTATTTTAATTTCTGGATGCAGCAGGAAGCTGACCAGCGTTACCAGGTCAGAGAATGATAGAGAGAAATGTAGTTTTGTCGTATCGTCAGCTTTTCCGAGGAGAGAAATCCCACCCTTTGAGCAGGTTCGGCGTCGCTCCTGTTTAATAGGTTGACAAGCCCTTGGCAGGTGGGTTTAAAATGCAGTGTGTGATTTGAACCTAGTGCAGAAATCAAGAATGTGGATTTTGCAAGCCTCGCTGCACATCACATAATAGCCTTGGCGTGAGCAAATACATGTCAGGAGAGAGCATGTAACAGCCAGTCTCCCTTGCCCAGAAGACATGATACAATTTGCCAGGCTTAGCACCTTTTTTGAAATAGTCATTGCAAGCTTAAGAATTAAATTAAATTTAAGAATTAATTGAAGCTTATTTCTAGGAACTGGAACACTTAGAAACAGCTTCTTTTCTGTGTGTTACAGAAGAATTATCTGATAGCCGCAGAAATCTGAGGCAAAACACATTTAGCTGCAACTTCCTTGTAATGGATTTGCCAATGTAAACAACCACGTCCCATAAGTCTCTTCCTGTAAACCGTCTCAGAAAATATCCTGAAATGTAAGATACGTGCTTGCCTGATACATGATCTAGTATGAAATCCCTGTCCTAAAGTGCAGAGTCCATTTAGTGTCTAATTTAGCTGTAATTTCTTATCCGCTGTTTTATCCAGGTATGTGCCTTGACAGTGAGGCTTTTGTTTTTGAATGTTTAAATAGTCTGATATTTACTAAAGGGGGTTTTATGGGGTTTTCTGGGGGGTTTTGTTTGTTGTTTTGTTTAATCCAGCCAAATTGGGGAATTTCCTGGTTATGACTAATACTACAAAACACAACAGCAATCTCTTTGTGTCAAAAAAAAAAACCAACATTTTTTTTCCTTGCTCATCGTTTTTAAAAATAAAAAGTATGAGTCAGAAATAGAGACTATATTTTATATAGCATCCTGGGTTATTTTGTGTTTACTTTTTTTTATCCTACTCTTCTCAAATTCATCTCTAAAACAAGGAGCTTGTTCTAGCGGGTAGGCACAATCCAGCTAATACGTATTTCCAGAAGAAATTGAGGGAATATTTTAACGTAGGTAGGTGATCTGTGCAAGTAAGATGTAGACGAGAGGGACTGACCCAGTAGTTGGCAAATCTCCGCGGCATCAGTGCTGGCAGCAGGTAAGATTTGCAGCACTGAGCGTGGCGGTGGATACCTGCAGAATAAAGCAGCGGTGGCTGCCCCGTGCCTTGGCTCTGCAAGGCGCCTGCCGAGCGCCAGATGCGTTTGCAGACGTGGGTGGCTCCTAGGCAGCATGTGGCGTCGTCCACAGACACGTGGGCACGTCCCTTCGCGTTAATGCGAAGCAGGATTGGGACTGATTTTCGGAGACTGTAAACGGACCGCTTCCTAGCTTCCATTTTTGAGGTGCGTTTCGCTCGCCCCGTTGCGTGAGCGTCGCGAAATGAGTCGGGGTCCACGTGGGAGATGCTTCTCTCGCCCCTATGGTGGACGAGGGATGCACGGGGCAGCCTTGAATGCCAAGGACACACACAGATCATCCCTTCTGTAAGGAGTTGATGGGGTTTAGCACCAGTATTTGAATGCGTCTAAAGCACCGGTCTTGCCTAGCCGCTGGCTAGCTGGGAGACGGTGCTTTTGCTCCTGTTATCCTCAAAGAAGTACTGAGTGACACTTTGTAAGGGGGAAGGGACAGAATTTGCCTTTGAAAGGGGAGTTTTGATAAACCTGTGAGCTCCTTATACTGCGGAGTAAGATAAGATGGCCTTTGACATTCAAGCTAACCTTAACCTGGGAAATAACGAAGGGGTTTGGTGCCCACAACCTGTATTACAGCAGCAGTACAGGTTATGCAAAATTATCCGGTTAGGCAAAATGCTCTGTTGCTGGAGAGCACTGCGCACTACGGCATCTTCACCAAGGAAGACGGCATCTGGCCTCGAGTTGGGAACTTTCCAGCTCTTAGACTGACTTCTTTCATCATCTTGGGCATGTCGCATGATCCTGTGACTTCAGTTTCTTTGTCTGCAGGTGGAAATAGCATTAACTCCAAAGGCACCATCATTTCTTGTGATGTTCGTGCTCCACAGTCTGTATTCGCTGGATTCTCTGACTCTCCTGACGGTGAATGTCATGCTCACGTGAGCATCATTCAGTATTTCATCTTTCAGAAGCAGGCCGGATGACTTCTGACACTGTTTTTGTTAAGTGGTGTGAACACCTCCTGCCCCGTTTCCAAGTTACCATTTGGAAGAAGAAAGGACAGGGAGGTGGTGCATTGCCCGGGGAATTGGACTGCAGTAAGTCAAGCAAGGATTGGGTTTTGAGTGCTTTATCCTGTTCTTTTAATTGCACGACCCCTTCATAGTTCCACACGAAACCGCCTGCGAGGAGGGGCATTATTGAACATTTTCAGTGTGCACCTAAGTACATTGTAAAAATAGTGTTCTTTCAGAGGGCTTTCATTTTGCGATACGATGATGCTAATATTATATCACTGATCCGGTGGAATTTGAGATTAACGTGCATTATACCCATCTCTGCTCTACAGCCGGTTCCGTTTTACAGGCTCACCCAAGGGGCTCTTCTTTTGAGTGCTCAGGAGCGCGTTACGCACAGGAGCGAACTGATGGGGCTGTCTCTGCGAGTCGATTTGTATTTCAGCGTTTGTAGATTAGAGCCTTCATCTCGGCAGTTGTGAACCATTTTAAGAAAACTGAATGGGCTTGGGCACCGTAATGCCCTGCTTGCAAAACGCCTTTGGGGGCACTTCAAGCTAGTGATCGCCACAGCTTTGTATATAGAAAGATTCATTACATTTCTTCTAAGAATGTAAATATTCCTAGCTGTAACTAAAGTGATTCTTACCCTAGTTTTTTATAGAAAAATGCTTTTTATTTGTAAACTTCAGAATAAAATCGTATCTGGAATTACCTTTAAAATGAAGTATTCTCTTAATTTTTTTTATGTCTTCGTGTTTTAATGTGTTATTTGCATAACAGCTACTTCATTTTTCTTTCCTTGTAGACTTTACCCTTAATCTTGTGTTACATATAATGACTTTTTTTTCATAATCTTTTTTAAAAAAACATCTGTTCTAAGCAAAGAGGTGGTCTTAGTTAACGAGAGCATAGTCTGCAGCTGCTGTCCGTGAGAGAGGCAGATGGGAGGTGGGTGCTGGAGCAGCAGCGTGGGCGCTCGCTTCCCCTCCTCCCTGCGGAGAGGCTGCCGTTCAGCGGGATGATCTGCCGGAACGTCGTCTTCTGGGTCCTGTTCTCGGGGAGCGTTTCCCAAATGCCAGCAACGCGGACAAACGGTAATTCAATTTGTTTTTAGAAATGGCAGGTTATGGAAAAATAGCAAGGAGTTTCTCGAAGGGGCTACTTAAATGTTTGTAGCAAAACTGTACGGGAGTCTGCACGTGGCCCCAGACGAAGCCGTGCAAATGTCGTCGCTAGATTCAGTC